AAGTGACATGAGGGTGAAATACGGGAAGTACGGGCGAGGTAAGGGTACGATCGGATCGAATCTGTGTTTTTCCACAGGAACGTCCAAAGAGGATGATTGCTGGAAAGCTTCTCGGGAGAACACAGATCACAGCCAGTTTCTATCTCAACCAGTATTTTCGTTCTGCATTATGGCCCTTCCACCAGTGGAGGGTGAGTAGTTAGAAATGGGGACCATCGTGGGAAGGCAGTTTCTATGAATTGGAAACGGGATTGGAAAAACGCAGATCGCAACCAGTTGCGATCTGTATTTTTCCACACGAGAAGGCCATTCCATGCGGAGAGTGAGTAGCAAACAAGGACCCTGGTGTTCATTTTCGTCGTGGGAAGGTGCATTTTCCACTGGCAATGTGCTACTACTACTACTACTACTACTACTACTACTACTACTACTACTACTACTACTACTACTACTACTACTACTACTACTACTACTACTACTACTACTACTACTACTACTACTACTACTACTACTACTACTACTACTACTACTACTACTACTACTACTACTACTACTACTACTACTACTACTACTACTACTACTCTACTACTACTACTACTACTAACTACTCTACTACTACTACTACTACTACTACTACTACTACTACTACTACTACTACTACTACTACTACTACTACTACTACTACTACTACTACTACTACTACTACTACTACTACTACTACTACTACTACTAACTACTACTACTACTACTACTACTACTACTACTACTACTACTACTACTACTACTACTACTACTACTACTACTACTACTACTACTACTACTACTACTACTACTACTACTACTACTACTACTACTACTACTACTACTACTACTACTACTACTACTACTACTACTACTACTACTACTACTACTACTACTACTACTACTACTACTACTACTACTACTACTACTACTACTACTACTACTACTGGCGTCACGTTCTTAATTGATCGCAGGGGTTTTGTGGCGTGCAATTTTCGTGTTAAGAGACGAAAACCTCGGTATTTACAGTGTTTCCTGGCTTTGTCCGTTTACGGACACGAAAAATGGACGTGTAAAAAGTCCCGCAAACTACTTTCAACTACTTTAGGCGCAGGAGGAAAACATCGGTATTTACAGTGTTTTCGGGCTTCAAAAACGGTCAATTACAGGGCCTACTTTGCGCAGACGTGTTCTCAGAACAGAGGAAAAGACCGGTATTTACAGCGTTTCGCGGGTTTTCTAAGATGTGGCCAAACTTGTCCTTAAACCCGAACGCCTCCAGCAAGCCGAACAGTCGTGCACCCTGAAATCCGAAACCCCGAAACCTGAAGCAAGCCCAAAAGTCGTGCACCCTTAAAATCTCAACCCCACAGCGTCAAGCACGTCCCCAGAAAAAACACAAAACATCTGGAGCCTGAAACCCCAAACCCCATGTGTACCCTGAATGACAAAGCAGTCCCACAGTGCACCCCCTTAAACCTTAAATCCCATAGAAAAAGCCCAAAAGTCCTTTCGCCTTACAGCCTCAACCCCAAACCCTTCCCTTAAACCCTCAACCCCAAATCCCAAAAAGCCGAAAAGATCCCGAAACCCTCCACTGTGAGCCCAAAAGGTCTTACCCTTAAACCCTAAACCCCAAATCCCAAAAAACCTCAAGCCCCAAACCAAAAACCCTCCACTGTAAGCCCAAAATGTCTTGCCCTGAAACCCTAAACCCCAGATGCCAAACAAAAACCAAAAGATCTGTAGGCTGAAACCTCAAACCCCATATTTCCACTGGAAGCCCAAAAGGTTCCCAAAAAAGCCCAAAAGATCTGTACCTGCAAACCCTAAACCCTCCACTGTGAGCCCAAAATATCTTGCCCCTAAACCAACCAAAAAAACAGAGGAAAACAGTAGACAGCGTGGTCAAGCGTGCACAAAGCCCAGCACGACCCCCATGTGTGCACAAAGCACAGCACGTAATTACCCCCCCACCCCCCCCCCCCCAACCCCTCAGCATGGTCATGTGTGCACAAAGCACAGCACGTAATTACCCCCCCCCCACCCACCCCCCCCACCCCCCCCAACCCGTCAAACGCAGAAAAAACCAGAGAAAACGATAGAAAAAGTCAAAAAACAGCAGAAAACACCATGATCAGTTAAGAGCGTGTCACCTACTACTACTACTACTACTACTACTACTACTACTACTACTACTACTACTACTACTACTACTACTACTACTACTACTACTACTACTACTACTACTACTACTACTACTTCTACTACTACTACTACTACTACTACTACTACTACTACTACTACTACTACTACTACTACTACTACTACTACTACTACTACTACTACTACTACTACTACTACTACTACTACTACTACTACTACTACTACTACTACTACTACTACTACTACTACTACTACTACTACTACTACTACTACTACTACTACTACTACGACTACTCCTACTCCTACTCCTACTCCTACTGCTACTGCTACTGCTACTGCTACTGCTACTGCTACTGCTACTGCTACTGCTACTGCTACTACTACCACCCCAGAAGTAGCAGTAGCAGTAGTCGTAGTACTAGTCTCCCCCCCCCCCCAGTGCGACGGGAAAAAGTCAACTCTTTCGCATTGTTTTGGCCAAACGCGCGTTTTACGCTAGTTGTTGAGGGTCGTTTTTGGAAACTTGAGTAGGAACAACACAGTTTTCCGGTTTTTTTGTATGCAAAAGTGCTGTAAATACCAGCATTCGCGGTGGAATTTCGTTGTTTGTTCGTCATTTTGCCGTTTTTTTGAAATATCAACAAAAACATGCTTTAAATTGAGGGTTCCCATGTCAACCTTTTTTGCGATTCTCTGTAATTTGTTGGTTGTTTTGCCGAAAACGCTGTTGCTTGTTCCCCGTGCATCCATTGGGGGCATGGGGCGGGTCGGGTGGAGGGGTGAGGGGGAAATTAGTTCGACAGCGTGCATCCCTTAAAAATAAATACCAGCATTCGCGTTCCGGGACGATGTGTGGTGTTTCGACGCCAAAATGCAGCAAATACCAGCATCTTTCCTTTTCGAGAGATGTTCCCCGTGCATCCATGTCTTGTTTTCGGGGGGATTACAGTCCGAAAGCCGCTGATCCAGCTGAGGCTGCTCCGTTCAAAGGGATGCTTCGGACCCACATGGCCCAGATGCCCACTTCAACGTCGGCAAGGGCAACAACGTGGGTGACGGTTGGCCTCTCGAACCCTACAGCCATAACACCATATTTTCAGGAGCGTGCTCTTGACGACATGGTTCAAGGATCTAAGGGCTTTCTCCCACGAACATCAGACATCAACCCTGCCTGCGGTTCGGCCAGCTCTGCGGGGGCGAAAACAAACCTAAACCTAAACATTGTCAGAGAAGGGATGCTGGACAGTGTGAGTGTGAGCGATGAAACCCTAAACCCTAAACCAGGCAGAACTTTTGGGGTTGATTGTGATGGACACTTGGTATCTTCGTGGAGTTCGTTGTTTTCTTTGCTGAGTTTGGAGGGGGGCATCTGCCACAAATGATGAGTACGACAAGATGGTTCGTTCCGTGCATGCTGGAGTGTGGGGTTTTCTGAATCCTGAGAGGCTGAAAGGATAGTTAATCGGTGTTGATGTAGTCCGCGCAGTGCGTCTTTACAGTCAGCTAGGCAGGTGGCCAAGAAACAAAAGCATCTAAACCCTAAGCCCTGAACCCTTACAGTTTTGCAAGCTTCGAAGCCCTGGCGGGGGCTTCGGCCTCTGGTGAAAGCTACACAGCTTTGAAGCTGTTTTCCAGGCCTCCCGGCCTCCCCATAGAAGCCCTAAAGAGCCTGTGCGGTAGCAGAGGTTTCCTATCTGCAAGCCAGCTCGATATGTCTTGGCTCGACGAACAACCCGAGACTTGTCACACATGGTTGAGTCCGTTGCTCAAAAGGGTTTAGAAAGGTTTAGACTTTAGGGATGGGAAGCTAGAGGGTTGCTCTATGCCTATAATCCCTGTCCTGAAACTCGCACGCGACACCTTGCGCCCGAAAGAGCACAGCCTGCGGGTACGAGCTTCGACCCTGAGCTACGTTTGTAGAACGCTTGCTGTTGAACAAGGGGCCTATACCCGAAACCCGAAACTGCAGCTGAGGAAGCTGCCCTTCTGGCGCCGAGATCCGGACGGCGGAGGAGTGTACTCGCGCCCACAATGCTCTGAAGAAGGCTCCGGGCCAATGAGAAGTCGGTTGGGGCACAAGCTTCTTAGCGTCAAGCACTGGCCTTTGAGTCCAGGATGTGGGGTTTGTGGAGTTCCGGAAGCTTCTTGAGTGAGGGAGAGAGAGAGGGAGTTTGAGGCTTCTGGATCTGTTGGCCTGGCATTGAACTCGGGGGTGTGTGGCTGAACTACACACCCGGAGTCCCGGGTGTCTCATTTCGCAGCTTCCTCACTTGGCCCTTTGCATGAAAAGGGCTGCGTATGCCACTGATGATACATCATCATCCTGCATGGAATGCTGGATAGGCCCTGGGCAGCATGTTAGGCAGGTGGACAATAACTCGAGCTTTGTCCAGTGGACGAGTAAAGCAACGGGGCCCAAAACTCCTCCCAAGACGAAGAAGTCCCCGGAGAAACGGGACCACTGGCTCGTGTTGGGATTCTGCACCGAGCATATGCGAGTAAGATGGCCTGAACCTCAGTTACAGATGGTAGCTCCGCCGCAAGCATCACAAAGCGACATACTTGGTGGGCTTTCTGTGATTGGTGTATGTTGTACTTTGATCTTGGGGCTTGAGGATGTCGCCTGCAGTGGTGCTGTAGGAAAGTTTCAGCTGATTATTGGTGGTATCTGGTATGAGTGTTGACGCATTTTCCAAGTATCTGCCCTGCAGTGAGTCCGAGAGGTCAACTAGGAAACACGCTCGAAGCCTACCCGAGCGTGAGCCCACGGCATTTGTCCCTCTTGAGACATGTCGGCCCCCAAAGCCCTGAAGGAGATCAAGAAGACCTACGGAGGCAGCAACATGTTTGGGGGCATCAAAGTTCAAAGCGCATCCCCCCGAAATCCCGGCTCAGAGAGCCAGGGGGGGAGGGTAGTTTTTGTGATCCCCAAATCCCAAGAGCTTTTGGGAAGTTTAGACCCGAAACCCTAAACCCCAAACGTTCGCAGTTGTGGTTCGGGGCGTGGATTTCTGAGCACCTACTCCCTGTCAGCCCCCCATCTGACCCGAAAGCCACAAGCTTCAAGTCCCTATTTCGTTTCCAGGGTTTGGGGTTTTGGGTTTAGGGTCCTTCAACCCTCAATACCCACATACCCAAACGTCCCCAAACTTCCAAACCCTGAAGCCCCGTAATCTTGACACCCAACCCCCCCCCCCCCCCCCCCACAAAAAAAAAATGCAAAAAGAAGCGAAACCCCACATCCCTGAAGCCCCTGTACCACAGGCTGGCGCTCCAAGGGGCTGATCAGCGTCAACGATCCAGGCAACGAGATCCCGCGCTCGCGGCTGCAGAAGTCGGGTGGAACTTTGTGGGATGTTTTGGGGAGTGGGGCAGCAGGAAACAAGGCCCACAACCAGAATCCCCCGACGGGTTCGATGTGGGGCTCCTGCTGCCAGGGTTGAAGGTTTTTGGGCTTCAGAGGTCGCTGGTGGCGTGCCCCAAAGTGCTGCGCGCCAAGCCATGCTTTAAAATAGTCTGACGTTTGGCGGCTCGGAAGCCCTGCGTCTTACCTGAAAAGCCCCAAACTCCAACAATCCTTTCCCTCCCCCCCCCCGCCCTCTCCCCCCCCCCCTCCCCGCAGAAAGGCCCCCCAGCAAAAATCCGAAGGAACTTAGAACCCAAATGCAACCCCATTAGGGTGCTGATAAGGGGTTTTTTTCGAAGTGGGCTGTAAGTACAGTTATAACTGGTGAGCATCCTGCGAACCTCCAAGTGAGGCCCTTCTGCAGCTCGGGAGGTGGCCCTGCGACTCGCCTCAAAGCGCCTTCTGGCGGTTGAGGGCGGTGTGGTCGTGCTGGCAAGAAGTAGTTCTTAGCATGAAGCAGTAGTGGTAGGGGATGGTAGGGGTAGCGGTTGTGGTAGTTGTGGTTGTTGTGGTTGTTGTGGTGGTAGTGGTGGTAGTGGTAGTGGTAGTGGTAGTGGTAGTGGTAGTGGTAGTGGTAGTGGTAGTAGTAGTAGTAGTAGTAGTAGTAGTAGTAGTAGTAGTAGTAGTAGTAGTAGTAGTAGCAGTATTTGTAGTAGTAGAAGAAGAAGAACGAGTAGCGTAAAAAGGAGTAGTGGCTTCGGATTTTTGGGGGTGGTCGTTCGCCCTTACACTCTCAGCCCCTAAACCCTTCATTGCCGTTACCTGGCTTAGGTTGTGGGGACGGGGGGGAGAGTTGATCTCCTGCCTGGTGAGGGAGGTCACCGTCCTTAAGCTTCTAAGGGCGTTCAGGCGGTTGCGGTCGTGCTGTAAGTTTGCTTTGTCTTGTTTGCTGGCTTTGGCGTTTTGGGGGTTGGAGGGTTTGGAACCTAGAGCTTGCCACGGTTTAGGGAGGATAGGGTTCAGGGTTGTTTTTTAATAGGTTCAGGGTTGATCGGGTGTGTTTTTTGCAGGTTTAAAGTTCAGTCTGCCGCTGCTTCGGTTGTGGCACAGGGTTTTGCCCACCAGTGTATTAAAAAAAAAAAAAAAAAGAGGCTGCGCTCGTCCCGACATTTTCTGGGAGAGGGCCAGTCTACCGAATCTACAAACACCCTTACCATACTTACCCTGTTTTTTGCAAGCCGTAAGCCGGGAGCGCCGAGGACACGAGCCCCTACTGGAACATCAACACCGCCTCCGCGGGCACGGGCGCTGACTCCGGGAAGTACCGGCCCGTCTGCAAGGTGGGCAAGCGGGGGGGGGAGGGGGCATCTTAAGGTTCTTATTGTGGGGTTTGCTTGTCGGGCTCCAAGAATGGCTTGTAGGCTTTATAGGTTGACCTGAAGAAAGGGTTTATAGATGGTTGTAGGCTTTACGCACTATCAGGCCTGAAACCAACAAGTCCTCAACCCCAAACCCTTCCCCCAGCCTTTGCAACCGATGTTCGTAGGGATTGGGCTTTAGAGTATTTGCATTGATGCATGATGTGGAGCACATGTGGCAGCTCTTCCGCCCATACTTGCTAGCTTTTCAGGTTTAGGGCCTTCTGCGAAAGGTGCCGGTCACAGGGCAGGAGGTCCCGGTGACCGATCCGCCAGTATTGGGGCCAGTTCGGGAAAAGGCAGTCATGCTCAACACGTGGCCAGGCTAACATGTTTGTGTGGGCTACTCTGTAGGGTTTAGGGTAGGGGCTTCAAAAGGTTGCGCTGCAGACCAGAAAGGCTTTAAAGGTCTAACCCTTACCGCCCCCAAATCCTTAAAGCGCCAAGCTCTAACACCCTAAACCTAAGTTCATGATGTGACGGCTTTTGGTCCAACACCCAAGCAGGTATCAAACTGATTTTTAGCATCTTCAATCTCCTCCCCGCCCAAAATTCCCAAATGCGGTTTCGGGGATTGTGACCTAAGTCATGGCACCCTTTGCCCCCAAAAGAATCCCAGATTGCAAGGGCCAAAAAGCCTTGGGCTCCTATATCCCTTGGTCCCGAAATCGTCCGTTATCCTGTGGGTCGGGGAGGGAGGGTAAAAGATTTTCAGAAAATCTTCCTTATAAGCGCAATATAGGGATTATTGTCTTTAATCTTTTTGGAGTTCTTCAGCACATAGTTGTCTAGGGGGGCTCCAGTACGTCAAAGTCGGGGGGCTGCTTGCTGATTGAAGTGTTCAACGCGCAGACGTAGCGAAACACCGCATGCTTGTTTTCCAATTCCGTGATGTACATACGGCCGGGATCGGATCACTTGTCGTGCTCCCGCTTCCAGAAAGTCGCTTCAACTTTGAGATACGATTTCTTCGAAAGTAGACTCAATTCCTATCTTTGGCCCTGCTACAGTCGTGGCCCTTGTATTTATAAAGTGCCCAAGCTCTGAACCCCAAGACCTAGCGAACTCCTAAACTCTATGGAAAAGGGGCCACAATTCCAGGGAGACCGAACGGAGCCCTCGTGGGCTAGAATCCCTCAGAACTCCACGCTCTGAAGCAGAATGTAAGGCATCCGGTCGCTGAACCGGTCCAGGGGTTTGGTGTTGAACCCAAGAAAAACTCAAAGTCCCAAAAAGACCAAGGCTTGAATACACCTGCGAGCCCAGGACGGTGCAACCCGGCCGTTAGGTCTAGGGTTTTGGAGATTTCTGGACTTGGTGTTCAGCGTGTAGCGGCGCAGCGTTTGAGGGCTGCAGACTTTTGCAGGTGATAGACCCTAAGCCCCCCATGAGCCGACGCCGGAAAGAGAGGACATGTGCGGCGCGGCCCAGTCCCTAAAGAAGGAGATGCTAGGGTTTAAGGAGTTAAAAGGGTTCAAAGGGCTTACTGTTCAGCCCATTTCCCCTCGCCCAAGGAATTTTGATCCAAGCTGGCAGCAAGCGCGCACCCTGAAGCTGGTGTCCTGGGCGAGCGGTGCGGGTTCCTTCCAGGGGGGTTTGGGACTCACGCGGCTCACGCCCCTAAACCCTAAGCTTGCCCTAAACATCCTAAACCCAAATGTGAATTTTGGCACTCTGCGCTGCAATCTGCGATGGGGCTTGTGGGGGCTCAGGTTAAAGGTTCTCTCCCTAAACCTTAACCCCATTCTATACCGGGATTCTTGTAAGGGACGCTACACGCTCGTTGACAACTCAGGAGGGCCTCGAGACAGACATTCCCCAACATCCTAAGATATGCATGGACCACGAAACTGCATGTTTCGCAGCACAGGCCCCTGCATGCTCCGGCACTTCCATTTTGACACCTTTCAACTTCCGAAGATGCGGTCGTCGTTTGGGCCGGTTTGGGGGCTTCATAGCATTGAGGAACATTATCGAGTCTGCCCAACACGAAATTCCTCGAAGCCCAAAGTCCTTGAAGACAGGAGGCAGAAAAGGTTTGTTTGGGGACTGGGTAGGTCACCTTTAACCTATGTAGAATCCTACTGTAAAAAATTGTTTAAAAATATAAAATATCCTTTTTGGGGATTCAGCCCCGAAGTTTCGTGTCGAAGCACCGACGGCACGACAAGCCCAGGCGCTTGTTTGCTGCGACATTCCATTCACCCGGGCCGCCGTCGTCAAAAACGGGGCGACTTGCAGCCCAGCAGGCCTGGGAGCTCACCGAATGACGGTTTGGGGTTTTTGGGATAGGTTTGGGTGTTAAAGGGGTTAGTTGAGGTCTTATTGAGGTCTTATAATGTCTAGAGGGTTGAGCCCCAGAAACCCGCAGTGAGTGGCTGGAGACGGGTGGCGCAACAAGCCAAAGGCCCGCTTAGAGGGGGGGAAGGGGGGAAGGGGGGGGGGGGCTTGTCAGTGGCCATTTGCTCCGGGGCTTCCAGCGGTCCGAGAAAAGGTACCACCAAAGCTTCGCTGGCTTACGGTTCAAGCACCTTTTCAAGGTACATGCCTGAAGCTGGGTACTGGGTACGGAACACAGGCACGGTTGGCCTCCCATGTCCCCACCATCCCCAAAAGGCGCACAGGGCGCGAAGGGGAGTTAATCCTTGAACTCAGTTGAGCAGACGAACGTTAGTATAGGGGTCGGAATAAATACGAATAGTATTCCTACATACTTATATTATAAGTATACCAGAACATCCCCTCAAACTCTACTCCAATTAGGAAGGCCCGTGAAATTTCTCCTTCAGAGCCTTAGAAAGCTTGGGCTCTGAAACCCTACTTGGAGGTTCAGGATACTTATTACCCAGTTCACACTGCACTTACAAGCCCCTTCAGCACCCTAGGTTACAAACTGGGTTATAAGTACAGTTACAACTGGGTTAAACAGGAACCCTGAGCCTCCAAGTAAACCCAAAGCCGTGGCCAGGCCTGACATGGGACCTTGCCAAGCGAGCGTGCGAGGACCGCGGCGAACGCCTGTGCAACCGGAACGAGGTTCGGCCCTCAGCCCCCTAAACCCTCAACCGTAAACCCTAAACTCTGAAACCCTAAACCCTAAACCCGAAAACCCCAAACAAGGGCCTCAAGGCCCTGAAGGCGGTGGATTCTTCTGGCTCTTGGTTTGGTGTTTGTGGGACACGCCAGAAAGAAGGGCCACCGAAAGAAAGAAGGAAAGGCGCGAGAGAAAGGAAGAAACAAAGAGAGAAAGAGAGAAAGAAATAAATAACGAAAGACAGACAGACAGAAAGAAAGATACACAGAAAGAAAGAAAGAAATATCTAAAGAAAGATAGAAATAAATCAAGAAAGAAGGAAAGACAGAAAGAACGAAAGCACGAAAAAGCGAAAGAACGAAAGAACGAGACAGAGACAGAAAGAAAGGAAGAAAGAAACAAGGAAAGAAAGGCAGAACGGACGAAAGACATAAGGAACGATATTTAGATGAGGACCAACGCCAATGCAAATAAAGAGATTATGCCATGCAAGCTTGCTTCAAAGCACATGACTCGTTTTGAAGCCCGTGTTCGCAAATTGGGGGCGGGGGAGGGCTGTACCCTTTTTTTAGCTCTCCTGCCAGATGTCTTGCGGGTAGAAGCGAGGGTTGCTGCAGATCAGATGCCAGTGCTGCAGCGCTGTTTGCGCAGTCGTTGAACTACCCAACCCGCCCCCCCCCCCCCCCCCCCGTTCTTTTCGAGCCACACTTGCTTCAAAACATATGAGTCTTGTTGAAATCCCTCATGCGCGCATTGTGTTTGCAAATGAGGGGGGAGCCCCGAAACCCCCCACTGTTTCAAGCCGTGCAAAGCTTGCTTCGCAGCATCTGACTCTGAGTTTTTTTCAGCCGTGCAAGCTTGCTTCCAAGCATATGAAGCTTTCCCCCCTCTCCGCTTTTTTTAGCCGCCCCCCCGCCCTTTGTAGCCCATTTGCAAACGCAACGCTCGCGTGACTAGCTTCAAAACGATAAGCCGTGCAAGCTTGCTTCAAAGCGGTTTTTCGAAAACAAAACCATCATGCGAGATCCCCCCCCCCACTCCCGCCCGCCTTTTTGTTTAGCCGTGCAAGCGTGCGAGCATTTGCAAATGGGAGCACATTTTGGGATAAAACTGGCACGCGGCACAAAAGGATGAAGGGTCGGACATAGTGTTTCTTTGCGGCATGAGTTTCGAATCGGTTCTCGAGACGAGGTGCCGCTGAGAGGCCAGTGGAAGCTTGAGACCCAATAATTCAAAAACTCACCCCCCAAAAAACAATACACCAAAAAAGTCCAAGCAGACGAGGAGGACAGGCAGGACCAGGAGGTCATGTTCCGAAAGCCGCAAGAAAAGCAAACAAAACCAAACAAATTCTTAAAAAAGATTGACCCAAAACGACCCTCTCCGCATCACAGGCCCCTTGCCCCTACGAACCCTAAAACCCTATAACACCTACTAGTAAAGTTCTGGAGGAACTTTCGGGTCTCCTAGACTCCTAGGACCCCTGAACCCTTCGGCTTGCCATTTCAGCTTCGGGGGTAGCGTCCATGTCCTCTGCACCCGGTTCTCGACGCAAGGGCGGCTCTTATGGGGGTGTTGAGAACTTTTTGGCCTTTTGGCCCTTTGTTGTACCCTTGAGAACCCGAAGCCTTGCCGCACGCAAGTGACCAAGCCTTCAGGCCCTTTCTGCTGAGGTGGGTGGGTGGGGGTTTTAAGGGTTTAGGCGGTTCAGGGTTGAAGGTTCAGATTCTGACGATATGCCTGAGGGTCCTGATGCAAAAAGGGCTCAAGGTTTCAGAGTCAGGGCCTAGGGTGTTTGCAGGAACCAGTTTCTGAATTCGACGGCCCTAATCCCTTTCTGTCCCTATAGAGCCCATGAATCATTGCTTGCCCAAATCCACCCCAGCAAGCCCCAACTCCCTGCAAGCACCTAGAAAGTTCTGGGGTCCCTCCTTTAGGTCAGAAACCCGAAGCCCTGGACCCTGAACAAAAGTCTCCACCCAATTATAACTGTACTTATACCCCCAATTTTGCCCGTATTACGGTGCTTAAGGGACTTTTAGTGGGTTAGAAGTACAGTTAAGATTGGTTAACAAGTACCCTGAACCTCCAAGTAGTAATCTCGCGCGCTGGGGTGCCGAGGTCGATCCCGATGCGGCACGGGCAAGGAGCTGGATCTCCGGCCAATGCTCATCAAGTCCAGGCAGGATCAGGGTTCAGATGTTTATCCCTAAACCCTAAACCCTAGAGAAAAAAAAACAAAAAGAGGGTTTGTAGGGTTCTAGGGTCTGAGCTCAGGCCATTTTGGCCCCAACAGGGCTTTGGCCACGAGACTTCGATTGTGCACATGTCCTGGCTTTGTGATTGCGGCCATGGATCCATCTGCTTTAGACGCAAGAAGTCCAAGAACTTGAGGCTCCCCGGAACAGGATGTGGAGAGGCCCTGCGCTCTTTGACCTCGGATGTTGCACATCCTAGCACCCCGCGGAAGTGGAAGCACAAACAACTGCCAGTTGTCTAGATGAAGAGTTGCAAGCTTGTGACGGAGCGGAGCGTGGACAGCTTTCGTTGCTGCGGCGATACCTTCTGAGCAGAGTTTGAGGGGCCGGCTTCGCGCGGGTGAACAGATGGATCCCCAAAATTCCACGGCGCGTGGGGAAAACGCTGTAGCTACGCTGTTCACTGAAGGCGTGCGCCAAAAGTCTTCATCTTCTTTCAGCTAACAACCAACCTTGCAACCTTGCACGCTTCAGTGATGAGTTTGGGGATGCCCATTCAAAGGACGCCCGTCAAACATTGCAAGAAAGCGGCAAAAGAAGACTTCGGAAGGAACGTGTCGCGCCATGTAGCAGTGAGGTGCGACGGTGCTGCTTGCACATTGGGTTTGACGCCCCTTCTCCTCTCCGACTGGTGTCGAGCGCATCTTGTTGGCCATCTTATCACTGGGGACTAGCACTGGTCCCTCAACAAAGAAATTACCCTAAACCCCGCAACTGCACTGGAGGGGTCCTAATTGGGGTCAGTTCGGACATACCCGTGCCCTAAGACGTGCAACTTGTAAATTGTCCAAAACTTCACGTTAGCCCCTAAAAAGCCTTACCTCAAATCCGTCAAACGGGGCGAGGTGGGGAGGTGTGGGGAAGAAGCGAGGTGAGGTGCAAGGTCTACCCACATCCGAAACCTTGGCCCTGAACCCTAAACCCCAAACCTCATCACGCACCTTTTACACCCCCAGTCGGTACTTCTAAACCTAAACCCTCGAACCCTCAACCTGAGCCAGGAGTCGGCAATGGCTACTGGACCAATGAACCCTGCGCATAAAAAATCGCCCACGCCCAAGGCGTGGCTTCGGTGGCTTCAAATTTAATCTCTTGACGTTTGTAGCCAAAGCATCTGCTCAGCCCCCATAGGAAGACATTTTCAGGCGTGTGAGAGGGGAGGCGAGAGAGAGAGGGAGGGAGGGAGGGTTGAGGGGTTGGGGTTGAAGGCCCCCAGATACTACAGGAGCCTAAATAGCTGCCGATAGCGTCCCCTCATCTCATCTGTACCCCCTGGCAACCCAACAACCTACAACTTGCCACCATTCAAATTTATTAGAGTCCAGGACGGTGGCTGGACCAAGGCATTTAAAGGGCATGGGGATGTGCTGAGAGGCCAAAAGGCAGGGTTCAACACGGTTTGGAAAAAGTTGCTCACAGGCAAATTCGACGTGCGCTTTAGGGCTCAGGGTCTGCGGATGCAAGGACACGAACGCTGCCTAGAATCCCCAGAAGCCTGCATATGCAGTAGTCGAGGGCGGGTGTGCAAGTCGAGGGAAACGGGCTCTGTATGCTCTTCTTGTTCTGCTTCTCACTACTGCGGGGTCTTGATTACAGTAAATCAGGGGTGGGCCCTTCTGGTCTCGGCCTCTGTCTTTGCGCACGGCTTCTGCTCCAATTGATTTGTCTTTCAGTTCCCCTCCGGCTCGGAGGTACACCCAACCTGGCGTGTCTGTGTCAAACTTCTGCTTGTGCTCAAAGCACAGGCTCTCAATGCACGTTACACGTATAATGCAATCATTTCCTAGCTTCTGAATATCTTGACGACTGCTTCCGTGGAAGAGAAAGATGCCGTTGCAGGTACCTAAGCCCACCAAAGTGTTACATGCTTCAACACGAAGTACCACTACCCGGGAACCTTAAAAGGGCTCAGAAGGCTTGCAATCAACTCCAAAAGTGCTTAGCCTTTCAACTTCGATTCGGAACCCTCTAAGCCCTAATTCCCTTCTTGGCACCACGAAACCTTGAGGCCTTTCCTATATAGGTTATGGGGTTTATAGGGTATGAACTCTGATTTAGGGGCATATCTTTCATGGTTCAGTTTTCAGCAGAAAGAATTTAGATACGGACGCGCCGGAGCTCGAGGACGAGCGGTTTAAGTCTCGCAAAGCGGGTCATTCCACAAAGTGCCGGGGCACGAGAAAATCGACTGTTTTTTCCTGGTTTTGCTTGTGGCTTGGAGTTGGGCAGGGGATCCCCTTAATATTCAACGCTAAACCCAGTTCTGCCATAATAATGTCTCAATAGATGGAGAAACTTGATTCTATGTTTCTATATCATTCTATACCATTTCGAGATTCACGAGCATGCATATTTCGATTTGTTTGGTTCAAGGGGTTTAGAGTTGAAAGGCGTGGTCAGTCGCGGATCGAAGCCTTTTGCCCTGTCCTAGGCGTTTGCTCAAGCTGTGTGATTCGCTACCATACCTCTTTGACCGTCATGGCGCAAAGTCGACTTCGTACACTCTGGCTGCTCGACCTGAAGTTTGGAAGAGGTGTGGCAGCAGTTAGAAGCTTGCAGCTGTTCGTCGTGGGTCTCGGGGTTAGGGGAGCATACCTATCGTCAAGCTTCACAACAGAATGTTTTGCATCTCCTTCGTGGAACGTGTCCGATCCCTTTTGGGGGGTCCTGCTTTAACGGTGCCGCACTATATAGCGGACCCAAAAGGAACCCTCTCATTTAGAGAACTACCCACGGACCACCGCGGAACGCCGCGTGGAACGCCCCCGGGACGCGTGCCCTGTGGAGTTCCCCCTTAGCTTGACGGACCACCGCGGAACGCCACGTGGAACGCCCCCGGGACGCGTGCCCTGTGGAGTTCCCCCTTAGCTGCCTTAGCTTGATGCATTCGGAACGCCGCGAAACGCCACGTGGAACGCCCCCGGGACGCCTGCCCTGTGGAGTTCCCCCTTAGCTTGACGGATTCGGAACGCCACGTGGAACGCCCCCGGATGCGTGCCCTGTGGAGTTCCCCCTTAGCTTGACGGATTCGGAACGCCGCGTGGAACGCCACAGTGGCGTGCGTCCTGTGGAGTTCCTCCTTAGTTTTGACGGATTCGGAACACCGCGGAACGCCACGTGGAACGCCCCCGGGACGCGTGCCCTGTGGAGTTCCCCCTTAGCTTGACGGATTCCGAACGCCGCAGAATGCTACGTGCAACGCCACGGCGGCCCGCGTCCTGTGGAGTTCCCCCTTAGCTTGACGGATTCGGAACGCCACGTGCAACGCCACGGCGGCCCGCGTCCTGTGGAGTTCCCCCTGAGCTTGACGGATTCGGAACGCCGCAGAACGCCACGGGGAATCGGAACGCCGCGGTACGCCACGTGGAACGCCGCGTCGGCGCGCATCCTGTGGAGTTCCCCCTTAGCTTGACGGATTCGGAACGCTGCGGAACGCCGCGTCGGCGCGCTTAACGGCACGCGTTATACGCCACTCGCGGACGCTTGCGAGCGCTTGCGGACGCTTTGCGGACACAACGCAACGACGTTTGGTAACCACCCAAGCCAACTTTTAAAACAGGAACCCTTCTGCGGAGCATTCGGGAAAAGGAACCCTACAGAAGCCCCAAAAAGCCCATTTGCTACCCAGGCTCTTCGTCTTGCTGGCAGCGGCCTCATCGGCTCCAACTTGCGAGGATGACGGCGAGGAGGTCTGCGCGCTGCAGACGGGGCAGCTACTCGGATTGAGAGGGGTTGGGGTTTAGGGTTTAGCGTCTAGGGTTTAGGATTTAGGGTTTGTTTAGGGGTTGTGTAGAGTCGGAAGGGGTGCAGGGTCTGTAGGGCTTAGGTGTGTTTTCAGGGTCCGCTCTGCTGCACGGGCCGCTTTGTGGAGGGCTCCATGTTTGTGCTCGTGTTTGTCCGTAACGCCTTTAAACAATTCAGGGTGCGGGAAATGGGCCACATTTCTCAACCTTTGGACCCACGCCCATGCACGTTTCTGTAGAGAAAACGATGCCATCTCAGATCGGCAACTAGATCAGAGACAGAGCTGCAAGACTGCAACCTAAACCTCAAACCCTAACCTGAAACCCCGCAAATCCCGACATGTGTGTCAGCGAAGCGGGCCTCCTGAGCCGTAAGCCCTTGTGTTGAAACCCTATACGCAAGCCCCGTCCGCATACCTTCGATCATGAGGCGGGTGGGTAGGGTTGTCGTTTGTCTCAGTTTGTGGTTTTTTTCGCGAGATGTTAATGTGCTTAAGTCGCTGGGACAGGAGCCATTTGAAAAGAAAAGAGCTGAAAAGATGAAGCTAAAGCTGTGCGCAAGCCAATTACCAGGGAACATGCGGAGCCTTCAGGGGCAGACTGAGATTGACTAAGTTCTTTTGCCCTGGGCAGCTGCTCAGGCCGAGTCTATCATGATAGCCCTAGCCTTAGGTTGCTCAAAAAGGTTCTTTTCTTTTTGGTTTCTGTGCCACTCCAAGGAGAGATCATGTTGCTCGGGTGCGACAGGGAGCCGGAACAAGGGCGAAACCCGAAGCTGTAGGCTCCCAAGTAGCAACCTTGATCAGCCCGCAATATCCGTTGTGAAGCAAGGCGCCCTTGATCCCAAGCTTCGCGCTACTAGCTAAATGTGGGGGGGGGGGGGGGCATGTTTTCCTACGAAAGCAGGGGATTCACGCTGTTTTCCTCATACCTGCTCGGTTCATGACGTTTTTCTTTCCAGCTCTGCAAGTCGACCAAAAAGCAAAACCGGGGAGCGTGGGATGGCACGCCCGAGCGGATAAGGGGCTTCAAGGCTTAGGGTGGCTTTCCGGGGGTGATTTTTAGTGTTTCAGGGTTTCGGGTTTTGGGCGTCCCCCCGAACCCTCAACACCCCCGAAGCCCAGGGCCGAGGCGCAGCCACAGGTGGAGTGCAACAAGTGCAGGCCACCTCAACTGGGGTT